GAAACAGAACTGGCCTAGCATCACCTCCAATTTACAAAACAGGAAGCTGTGCGCCTTGGCTTTGCCAAGGATCACAGTGCTGGGTGACAACTGGTGGTCACACCCAGTGATTAGTGCTGATGCTGTGTGTGTTTCTTCACTCACTCTTGTCATGTATACAGGAAGTCCCCATTTCGAAGATCAGGCTGAAATTTTTAAAAGGAAAAAAAAAAAGTCAGAACCACTTAGCAGAAGGTGATAATGAACAGAACCTGCCGAGTGAGTGTGCGTGGGTGCATGCATGCTTGCCTGTGTGCCACTGTGTGTGTGTGTGTGTGTGTGTGTGTGTATGTGTGTGTGTGTATCTGTGTGTGTGTGGAACCTGATGGTAGCACATAGCTAAGCACAGGGCAGAGGACTCCTGAATATAATGCATTTTGATGCTGTAAATGAGGCCAAAAGCAGGGGGAAAAAGGAAAAAAGGAAAACAAAAGAAGTTCCACCCTGTACTTACAAAACCATCGCTCAGGACAGAAAGACTAGGAATTCTTACTGCCAAGATCTTAATTGATGGTCCACCACCAGCACCATCCGAGGGACTCTATAGTTAGGCATCAACTCTGAGTTTGATCCAAACAGTGGCCCACATCTATCACATGTATGCAGTGCAGTAGCTGACACTGACATGCTGACAAACAGGCACACACACACATACACCATAAGTACATACACACACACACACCATACATACATACACACACACCATACATACATACATACATACACACACACACCATACATACATACATACACACACACACTCACACACACACCATACATACACTCACACACACCATACATACATACACACACACCATACATACACATACACCATACATACACACACCACACATACACACACATACTCCATACATACACACACACACACCATACATACACACACACACACCATACATACATATACACACACACACTCATACACACACACATACCATAAATACATATATACACACACACACTCACACAAACACCATACATACACACACCATACATACATACACACACACACTCCATACACACACCATACATACATACACACACACACTCCATACACATATACACATACACACACAACTCTATACACATACCCACACACACACACACCATACACACACTCCATAAACATACACACACACCATACATACACATACACACACACACTCCATACACATACACACACACACCATACATACATACACACAAACACCATACATACATACACACACACCATACATACACACACACACTCCATACACATACACACACATACCATACATACATACCACACACACACACTCCATACACACACACTCCATACACATACACACACATACCATACATACATACATACACACACCATACATACACATACACACTCCATACACATACACACACACACACACCATACATACATACATACACACACACACTCCATACACATACATACACACACACTCCATACACATACACACACACATACCATACATACATATACACATACTCCATACATACACACACACAAACACACAATCCATACATACATACACAGACACACACACCATACACACACACCATAGATACACACACACACCATACACACACACCATACACATACACCACACACAAACACCACACATACACACACGTACATACACTCCATACATACATACACACACACTCCATACATACATACACACACACACTCCATACATACATACACACACACTCCATACATACATACACACACACTCCATACATACATACACACACACACGCCATACATACATACACACACACCATACACACACTCCATAGATACACACATACCCCATACACACACACACCACACACACACAGGGAATCTCAAGCACATGCCTCACTGTGGTACTCACAACCACAGGATTCCAAGCCTCAAACACAGGCAGCCAGGAGCAAGGACATGGTGTGGTCCCCTCCAGCCTGTTCAGTGAACACAGCTGGTTCCTTCGTAGTGCACAGCATGGTGGCTCTCTTGAGTCAGGGCTACTACCTCCTACAGACCCAATTGCAGTGTGTACCCAGGACAGACATCATGTTCTTAGCTCTCACAGGAGGCCACCAAGCTGAAGGATCTGTAAGAAACCAAAACGAGAGCTGCAGGGAACAGGTCAAGACACACTGTCCTGCCGGGGCTCACCCTCAGCATTCCCACTGGGGGACTAAGCAGCAAATTAGGAGGACACGGGGACCCTCAGCTTCGCTGCCCTCTCTAGCCCTCAGTCAGAACTGCCCATCAGGAATGGAGGCCTTCAGTAGTCCACAAAGACACAACATGACCTCTGGCTCCTCCTGCCACCCAGGGCTTGGCTTCAGTTCCCAAGGAAGCAGACAGACAGCTCTCTCTCCAGGACAACAGCCCAATCCAGGCTCCTTCTATGGCCTCGCCTCTCCTGAGCTCTTTGAGACCCATTTCCTGGGAATAGGGGGTGGAGCTTGCAACAGAGACACAGTAGTCCCCAAGCCTCACAGCTGGTGACATTAGACATCCAGTCCTCCAAATGGCCTAGAACATGACATCACCACCTAGGCATCTGCTCCTACTTTTCTGAGATGGCTTGTGTTATGCCTGTGACCTCAGCAGCCCCTGAATCCAGCTTTGTCCCTCCATCCACACTATGAGCCAGGAAAGGTGCCTGAAGCCACTGCTCCCAGGTACCAGTGAAAAAGCTTTAGTGTTTCGGTAGAAACACTAAATGTGAGTTCCATGAGAGGACGTACCCACACTGCACAAGGAAGCCAGCTAGGGAACATGTACAAATTCATTTCTCTGTGCTCTTGGCTGTGGATGTGACTAGCTGTGTGAAGTTCCTGCCTTCACTTTCCCACCTTCCCCACAGTGATAGACTCCAACCTGGAACCGTAAGCTACAATAAAACCGTCTCCCCTAAATTGCTTTCTGTTAGGGTATTATATCACAGAAACAGAAATGAAACTAAGACACCATGTTCCAAAAAAAGGTGATCCCTTCATCCCCAGGAGTCCCGCGTGCCCCTACAGTCTGCCCCACCCCCAGTGATAGGTTCTCCCAGTGGCTCAGGGGGTCCAGCTCCCAGCCCTTACGAGCAGAAATGAAATGTACGGGGACACTCCGCCTGTCTTTTGGGAACACCTGAGTGGCAGTAGGAGGCCAGTGGTTGGCAGGGATTATCCAAAGCCTTACGGACACCTGAGACTCTGTGATACCATGACTAATCGTCCCTCTCCCTATTCTGCCCCCACTACCTGGTTAGGGAAAACAAAGACACACAGAGGTAAATGCACCAGGAGGGTGGGACATTAGTTGTCAATGGGACTAAGTCCTATGCATTCCTCACGGGGGCTGCAGAGCCAGTGCCGGGGCCAGAAACCTTCCAGGAAGCCAAGCAACTCTCCTTTCCATCACTGGTACCCTCTGACCCACTCTCCAGCCCTTCCCCTGCCCATCTGAGAACCTTCTCTCTTGCCCCTTCCCACATGCACCCTAGTTTAACACAGTTGAGGTCAGCCCTCACCCAGAACCCAGGCCCCAGGTCCTCACCCTCAAGCCCCGCCCTCTCCCCTCCCCTCTGCCTCCTAACTTCCTCCCCACTCACCTCTGCTTTCTAGCTTCCTCCTTGCTTCCTATTCCTCTTCTCACTCCTTCCCAGGCCACGCCTTCCTTCTCTGTGCTTCTGATCTGCACGAGGAACTATCCACTGTGCCCAGTAGTACTTTGTCTCCTGACATCATCTCCACATTGGACTCTGGTACCCTTACTAAAGAATAGAGAACTCTGAGAAATGCGGGGCTACACACTCAACACTACTGGACACACTCCCAAGCTCCTGAACTGACAGGCAGTGACCATGCTGGGCCACTGCTCACTATGGACCTTCAGGCCTGAGACTTGCACCTGTATCCTTCCCATACACTGTTGCAGACACTGACAGTCCCCTGGGCATCTCGCTGGAACCTCTCCTCCTAATCATATGGTCTTCAGTGGGGGCAAAATTAGTCTGAGCTGAGTATCTCCCATACAGATTGACAATAGTACATGAATGAAATACAAAGCAAATATCCATATGCATGAGATACACAAATAAAATGTATAAGCAAATATCCATATACATGAGGCCTATGAATGAAACAGACAGGCAAATACATGCATGAGATGTTCAGTGGCCACAGGCAACATCATGCTCTGACCACAGCCTAGCTGCAGCACACCTGACACATGCTGGCACATGCCTTGGTCCTCACTGTCCTACCAGAGCAGGGAAATAGCTCTCACATATTCAGAGAAACTCCAAGTTTGCTGGAGGAGACCAGCCCAGGGATAGCGTGGCAGCTCCAAAATTATTTGAATGTGTTGCTCTACCCTTTCAACCATAGTTTACAGTCTATATGGCTGCTTGAAGACCAGCCAAAACATCAGCATGCCAAGCAACCAGGACAAGGTAAAAAGAGACACAGCCTTTGTCACCGTAAGGATGCCTGACTTTGTCAGAGGTCAAGAGTAGTGCTTATTAATGGCAGAGGGTTGATCTGTCAGAATGATGCCTTCCAGGCAGATGTTTGTCTACAGTGACACACGCAGAGGTCCTGCTCAGATCTCAAGCTTTGTCAAGTGTGTGAGTATGCATGAGCAAGTGTGAGCTTTTGTGCACATGTGTGACAAGAAAACATGCTCTGCAATGGTAGTGAGACGGGGAGAGACAAAGGAACTCTGGACACCTGTGGGTTAGCCTTGTGTCATAATAATAAAACTGAGATCCAAAATTCTAGAAAATTCCACCCAGATCCCCATCCCATAGGTTGTCCGATTTCATCTGGGGTCCAAGTCACACTTGTACTTTAGCCTCAAACCTACGGGGAAACACTGTCTGTTGAAGCCCTTGCTGGTACTGGAGTGGAAACTGCACCAAAGATCCCTGGTGTCCCCTACCCAGCATGCTTGTACCCTCCACAGGACCAGCCGCCATGGCACACTGCAAGACAGAGCAGGATGACTGGCTGCTGGCCCACCTGAAGTACCTGCTCTTCATCTTCAACTTCTTCTTCTGGGTAAGTGGATGCTACGGCACACCCCTCCCCCACGTCTGGCCACATTCACTTTTGAGTCACTGTGCCAAGGTTGACTTCTCCCAAGGCAAAGACCACACTGGGACCCATCCTGCCCTGCCCTCAAAGTCAGCCCTGCCCTGGCTATGAAGGCGGACAGAATCCAAGCTGCCGCTTCCGTGGAGTCCATCCAGCACACACACAGGCCAAACTGTGGGCAGCCTCATCTGTCTTTCCCGTCTCCAGAACGCCATGTCCATGTTATCCTGACTGCTGAGATGGTACCCCCTTCCCACTGAAACCCCCTGGCTTTGCCTGGCCATGGTCTCAGAGCTGCACTCTGACAGGGATGCTCTCTGTGGCATCTGACACAGGTTTCCCACAGCTGCGTGACCTCTGCCTCCCAGATGGAATTACCTGTTTAATTAGGAACCAGATGCCATCAATCCACACAGGACCTGTAGAGATGCTGCATTTTACTCTAATTCGTTTGTTAAGATGGTGTCTCACTATGCAATGCAGATGGTTTTGAACTTGTGATCCTCTTGCCTCAGTTTCTGCGGGCCTTATAAACTTGTCATCACATCTGGTGTTTGTTGATTGTGCGTTTTGTTTGTGGCTTCACTGGATGTGGTAAAGACTATGAGGAAAGGTTTGCAGTCTGCAGGGATCCTGACAGCTTCTGATGCTGTGGCCCAAGGCGACTTAGTCCAAATCTGAGTTTGTTTCCCTAGCTTTAGTTTGGAAATCATCTGTAGCCTCTCAGCCTGAAAATGCACCCAAATCAACATCCTGATGAGGCAGGGCTGGGCTCCAGGTACCAAGCATAAAAGCAACTATCCCACCACTATCTCAGAAACACAGGGGGCCATGGAGTCATATTGGTTTCAAGCTCAGGTGGTTTCAAAGCATAGGAAAAACTGACAGCATCAGATACTATCTGTTAAAATGATGGACACATTTGCTTAAATATGTTTTGTAAAGTTCCTGAGAACAAAAAACAAAATAACCTGCTTTGATCTTCCCAGGAAAGAGTTTTCTGGAACAGGGAGGCCCAGAGGTACAGATCCTGGATAGTGAAGCTCTGTATCTGGGGACTGAGGACTAAACTTCCACTAGATTGCTTATATAGATCTGACCCACAGATAAACTACTAAGGGTGCTCAGAATTCTTGCAGAGCAAGCATTCTCCATCCTACCACTCACCATGATACATCAGGCATGCCACTATCTCATTCTTTCTCTCGTTTATTATTATTTTTAACAATCTTATTTTACATATTAATCCCAGATCCCTCTCCCTCCGGTCCTCCCACTCCTCCCCACTCCCCCCCACCCCATCCCACCCCATCTACTCCTCAGAGACAGTGAGGCCCCCATGGGGAATCATCAATGTCTGTCACATCATTTAGGGCAGGACCAAGGCCTTCCACCCTGCATCTAGGCAGAGAAAGATATCTCTCCATAGGGGATGGCTCCAAAAAGTCAGTTCATGAACTAGGGATAAATATTGGTTCCACTGCCAGTGACCCCATAAACTGCCAAGCCCGACAACTGTCACCTACATTCAGATGGCCTGGTTCGGTCTTATGCAGGTTCCCCAGATGTCAGACTGGGGTCCGTGAGCTCCCACTTGCTCAAGTCAGCTGTTTCAGTGGGTTTCCGCAACATGGGCTTGACCTCTTTGCTCATATTATCAGTCCTCCCTCTCTACAACTGGACTCTAGGAGTTCAGCCCAGTGTGGATCTCCGCATCTGCTTCCATCAGTTACTGGGTGAAGGCTCTATGATGGCATTTAAGGTGGTCATCAATCTGATTATGGGGGAAGGGCAGTTAAGGTACCCTCTCCACTATTGCCAAGATTCTTAGTTGGGGTCTTCTTTGCAGATCCCTGGGAATTTCCCCAGTGCTAGTTTTCTCGTTAATCCCATGTTGGCTCCCTCTAGCAAGGTATCTCTCTCCTTGTTCTCCCTTTCTGTCCTTGCCCCAACTCTACCTTCCTGATTATTCATGTTCTCTTCCCCACTTCCCTTCCCCCCTTCCCACTCTCCTACTATCCTCCCCCCACCCCCATGCTCCCAATTTACTCAGGAGATCTTTTCTACTTCCCCTCTCTCAGGATCCTCCTTGTTTCCTGGCTTCTCCAGGGTTGTGGATTGTAGGCTGATTATTCTTTGCTCTATGTCTAATATCCACTTATAAGTGAGTACATACTGTGTTTGTCTTTCTGTGTCTGAGCTACCTCATTCAGGACGGTGTCTTCTAGTTCCTTTTGGGGTATTTTTAAGGTTTGTTATTGTTTCATTTTGAGACAGAGTCTCACTCATACCCAGGCTGTAACCCAGGGTGTCCTCAGACTTGTGACAATCCTCTTAGCTTTAGCTAGAATGACACACATGAACTACCATGCCTGGGCCAAACTTTTCTTTGTAAGACCTTTTATCCAGACCATAAAAGTCTCCTGTGCCCATTCCAGATAAACTCCAAAAGACTGGCAAGTATAAATCCCTCTTTCATTAACCCAAAGTGCCTCTTGAGTGTAGGGCCACACTTCAGGGCTCTGCCAAAAGTCAGCATGGAGCAACATCCCAGGACACCGACATCTTATTGGTCCCAATTCCCAGCATTGAAAGATTCTGCATAGGGCACCCCAGTGACCTTCCACTAAACTATAGTAGTCAGTGTTGCTAGTTTCCTTATTGCATAGTTGTGGGCCTGGCTCACCATGTCAGTCATTGACAGTTGTCTTAGCTACTATATTGCTGTGAAAAGACAATATGACCAAATCAACTTATAGAAGAGAGAGTTTACTTGGGACTTACCATTTCTGAGGGCAAGTCCATGATCATCATGGTGGAGGGCATAGTGCTAGAGCAGGCGCTGAGAATTCACATCCTGACCCACAGGCAAGATGCACAAAGAGCTAACTGGGAATGGGTGGGCTTTTGAAACCAGTGACACACCTCCTCCAACAAGACCACACCTCCCAATCCTTCCTAAATAGTTGCACCAGCTAAATAGTGGGAGGCATTCTCATTCAAATCACCCATGACAACCGAGCTGCTAGGCAAATCACCTACTCTCATGTTTTATTTTTGTATGCGGAATGGGAATGCTAGAACTGTAAGAATTAGAACCTGTTACTACGGAAAAGTCTAGCATAATTAATGGTCAGTATTGGTGCCCTGCTGTTAAGGGGATGGGATAAACTGGTGATGGCCATCTCTCCAGCAGCTTCCTGAATTCCTAGCACTGGGCTTAGAGCTTCCGGCATCGTGGCCTGTGTAGAAAACAAGGGATGTTCACATGAAATGTGGCTTCTGAAGCAAAACGTGCCTGCATGGGGTGTGATGCCCTCTGAGATTTTGTGTTTTTGTCAATCACAGTGTCATTATTACATGCAGCTTACAGTCCTGAATGGACCACATTCCCACCTCTGAGAAAAACAGAATAGACCCCACTCTACTCACCCCCGGCAGGACCCAGCTGCCACCCTTCCCATCCCCCTGTCTATGAGGCCTCCTGGGATGAGTCTGGTCAGGGGTCACTGATGCCACCATTGACACACCTCCTGGGTGACCCTGAGAAGCAAACACGCCCAGCTTTCCTGCATGGCTGCCCAAGAAACACTCTTCTTCCTCCTCTGTTCCTCACGCAGCTCCCCTCACCCCTGTGTTGTTCTCTAATTTATTATTTTAATTAGCTGCCTGGCTGCGTTAATAATCAAAATGTTCCCAACCTCCCAGGAGCTCTGCCAGGCTATGGGAGAAGCTGCCTCAGCTCACAGCTTGTCCCGCCTTGAGAACCCACCCAGGCTTTGGCGTTACCAATGGGGACCTCTTTAAAGAAACAGAGGTGACCGAGGAAATGTCCAAGTGAGCGAGAGCACGTGCTGTGCGATCACAAGGACCTGAGTTTAAACCCACAGCACTTATATAGAAAGCCAGTCAGAGAGGCTGGCTGGAAATAAGGGTCACTGAGCCTGAGGGTTGCAGACTCGCTCCAGGTGCAATGTGAGATCCTGTCACGTGGGTATAAGGGAGGAGTAGGACATCCTCCTGTGGCCTCTGAGTATGTGTGGGCATGCATGCCTTCACACACATCACGCAGAGAGAGGGGGGAAGGAGGGAGGGGGAGGGGGAGAGGGAGACAGACTGACTCAGTGCTGAGAGTCGGAGCTGAAAGAAACATGGAAGACTTGAGCACCACCCACAGGGAAGGTCAGAGAATATCCCCTCAATGGACCCTCACTTGAGACCCAACCACACACTCCCTCCTGCCCAGCCCACATGGCCGAGTGTGCTAGAGTACATGGAGAGTGGAAAGCTAACTGGAGGAGGCTCTATCTTGGCAGCACCGAGGAAGCCCTCTCCTGTACCAGGCAGGACTTTGGAGTGAAGCAGCTGTTTGGGGGCGTTGGGTGGAATTGTCTCAGGTCTGGCGTCAAGGCCTTATTTGGGGTGAGTTTTTTCACATCTCACAACACAACATCATCCACCGGGCAGTAAGATTCCTGGATCTCTCTAGTTGTGTGATCATAGAAATGTCTCTTCTATCTGGGCCATAATTCCTCCCTCTAGAATATGAAATTTTCTTTTTCTTTTCCCTTTCTTTCTTCCTCTCTTCCTCCCTTTCATCCTCTTTTCCTTCCTTCATTCCTTGATTCTTTTCCTTCCTCCCTCCTGTCTTCTCTCCCTTTCCTGATGATATCTACCTACCCTCTAGCACTCTCCCTGGGATCGGGGTAAATAAAGATTAATCGAGAGGCCAAAGGGCAGACACTCAGTGTAGTGAGCAAAACAAGCCTCCCGTGGAGAGGGCAACTATAGAAACATGCCCAGAGCCTGGTGCTGGTAGGGGGTTGCTAGGTGTTGGGTATGCATGACTCCAAACAAGCTTTCTTCCAGCTTCTTTGGAAGGTGGGGTGGTGTCATGACCCTCCCAGCTCCAACCCTCTGTGTCCATTGAGATTTTACACTCACCAGGTGGATGAGACTCAAGA